TATATATATATAATGCCCGTGCTAGAACTACGGTTTTAATCTTGGGATGCTCATAATTATAACCAATTTATTCTTCATAATATTACTATTACACAACAATTGTATTTGAGTCTATATATAATTTGGGAACACTTTTCATATAAGTGCACATTGTAAAGTTAGATTCTACCTAACTCCTTAATCATGTATTGCAGATTATCGGGGATGTTGTCGCTACATTCTTTTGCATTACTCGTCAAAATATCGGCCAAGAATTCCCTCCTCAGCGAAATTGGTAGCTGTGCATGGCAGATAACAATAAATAAGTTATTTTTTTTCAATGTAGTTTATGAAACTTAGTTATATACTATACATGCTTACATTGTTGATCGGTGGCAATCTTATGCCATCCCATGACTTTATGAAACTGTATACAAGAAAACCTCTCAAATTCCTGCAGAAGATCAATTGTTTATTTGATGTATATAGATCAAATAACTATTTCTGTGATATGAAAGTTGAAATATATTACAAGTGATTACCAGTGTTTATTATGTGTAACCTTTGTTACACACGTAGGGTATTCTCGCTTCTAGTGATAAATATTGTCGTTCATCTTATAATTTAACAATCCCATGGTAAGATTAAACCTTCTAGCAATAGTGTGTAATGTAGGTATATATGAATCTCTGTGATCATAACCCTTCAAGCATACATGATCTTGAAGTGGATCCATAATATGCACGATTATTTTTTGTATGTCGATTATGAATAAAGTGTATAGACCGTCTTGATAATACGGTAGTAGAATCTATAAACAAACACACGGACCGTAAGTGGTAAATAATTTAAAAGGTTTTAAAGTAATACACAAAACACAACTTACATTGCTACGTTCTTTAATGTCATACTACTTTTCCGGCCAGCACTCAAATACTTTTTTAATTGATCTTGGTATGCCTTGTCAATCTTGGGACAACATCGTGGATCTCGTCCAAAATGAGTTATTTCCTGATAATTATACAATTACATAATTTAAGTATGACATGTATAAACAGTCTTTTAGAATGATTTATATATATCAACTTACAGCAAATTTGAGATCCATGTAGTGGAATATTTGTTTCTTCTGCGCTATGTCTTGGTTGCACGCGACCATCCGAATAGCCATATTAAAGGTTTCATGTTCCAGCTGTCTATCATCATCTAAAATATTTATAATTTGTCTAAGACTTAAAGAAATTGGATATGGTCGTGTACTTCGCATCCACTCTTTCCTGAAAACAAGGACAAGGAATAAATTACTTGCTGTAGCAATCTAGAATGGACAAAGGCAATATCTATATTAGAACAGTATGTTGTACTTTAGAATGCATGACTTACTCTAAAGTCTCATCATCGGCGATCAAGTGGAACAACCCGCATATTGTCGTCAATAGGTCTTCTCTGTTTGTCCACTTTAGCGTCCTTGTCAACTTCGTGTTACGCGACATCAAAATATCAAGGTCATTGAGCTCTTCGACAAGTTCATCTAGGTCATCTCTGGTCTTAGTCTTTTGCTCTTTATCCGGTAAACCTCTTATTTCATTTAACAACGAGTTATATAAGATCGCAGGTAGCTTGAACCTGAAGTTACTTATATCTTCCTGCAAACAGTAATTGCTTATATGCTAACCAATTAAAAATAACTGATATGTATTAGAAGTAGATTCTTAAGTAAGTACCTGGGTTACATGGTCAGATAAAGTACTTCCGGTCCAATACTCCATATAATTAAGAAGCCATAAACCACAACTATAGCTGGGCAATATTCCAAACAATCAAATATGAGGCATACAGATAATGGTTAGGCAATGACATATACACAAAACATAAAGATATTTTACCCATCTGTTTGCATTGGGACCTTGATCTTATGTTTCATTGGCCAAGATGTCATATTGGTACCGCGTTTCCATTTACTTTGGTCCAGTTTTGTAAGACCCGTTGCATATTTTATTAGTCTTTCCATTCCTAAGAGCTGGTATGATCAAAACACCAAGGCTAATTAAGAAACAGAACATGTACTGAAGAATTTTGAATAAATAAATATGTATACCAATTATTTAGACGTACCGTATACCAGAGATCTTCAAAGTTTGTCATATTATCTCCAAAAGAGTCCAAAACATGTATCTGGCCTAAAGAAGCGTTCACAACACCCAGGTACCGGTGAAACTTTTCAATATTGATGGGAAGGAACACCTGCAGTATTAGAGAGTTATCTAAATTATTTCTCTAGATTTGAAAGGGTAAAAAATTAGCATATGTCAAGTATTATGGTAAAGCTTACCATATCAGCATTTAAATAATTGTGTGCCCTTGTTTCAACCACTTCATCTCTATTATAGCTCAAATCCCTCTCATCTTTCTTCCCGTCAATTCATAGCATTTGAGAAACCATTGAATTTTCCAAATATACATCTCCACCATCTCTATGAAGTAGGTGTTCTTCATGCCGCATCAATTCGATATACAAACTTATGACCTACAAGTTTTTAATTTGTCATTAAAAGATTGGCAGATAGTTTGTATGGACACTATGTAATGCAGAAGCAGTGTTAAACATGCTTACCGCGCCATTGACTTGCTCATTCGACTTAAAAAGGCAATCTAGGTCATCCCTGCATCCCCAAGCATCATTGATTCTGACGAGTTTATGATCTATACTTTTTCCTTTCATGTATTCAATGACCTCATCATCTTGTTTCGTGGACACATAATCTACAGAGGTATCATTTTATATTATTATTAGTAATAAGTAATTAATTATTTAAATTAAAGAAGTAAGTTTCAATTAATGATGGCTCACCTTGAGTCATGATTTGTGCATTGTTTGATTTCTTTGGCTTATTATACCAAGGCAACGCCGTCACATCATCGTCAGCACGCATTATATGTTGTGCCTTTTGTAGTACTGGCGTTTGTACGGCATCGTCGTTGACCTGTACTTCTCTCGCTTCCTCCCTAATAATGATCTGCAGATGCAATATATAATATCAGTTTGAGATTCCATATTTGTACATTTTGTACGCAATGGCCCACTCGGACAAAATATGAGAGGAGATTTGTGTTGCTTAAGAGTTCGTTGTGTACGTCATCCTCATGAGCACGCTTCCGCTTCTTGTCTTCACATCTTTCTTGATCGACATCTACATCAATATAGCTCCACTTTAGTACATTAGCATCTAAATAAATGCCTTATTTCATATTGAAAAGTAGCATGATGATGTTGTGCTAATTTGGCTCACCAGAAGTAGGAAATGCATCAATACGGACCGTACGTTTGACTGTACACATGGGAATATATGCATCATTTCTGTGTAGCCAATCTGTGAGTTGTACAGACTGATAAGTGAGGTTCATCATAAGCGAGGAAATGGGTGAAATTATTATTAAAGGCTCGGATATTTCTGACCTTCGGGTGAGGATGGCCGAACTATTATTTCGGTGTTGTTGTTGTCCAACGTTTCTTGGCTAGAGGCTACAATTCTTGACTCACTCTCTATATACTTTTTAATCTCTACAGATGAGCAAAGTATTATTTAATAATAATTAATAATAATTTGGGAGACCAAATCTATGAGGTTGCAATGATGATTAATCATACATAGCTTAAATAAATTTACTAAAAGTAGTAATCAAACATAGCTTATAAATTTATTACAAGTAAAAGTATTTAGAGTAATTCACCTGAGTTATCTGGTGTCGGAAACTTTTTAGCTTTGGGCGAGGATGGCGGAACTATTATTTCAGCATTCTCTTTGTTCTGCCTTTCTTGGCTAGAGGCTTCGATTGTTGCCTCACCCTCTACTATTTCGACATTATCTTAATATGATCAAAGCAATATTAAATAATGTACTTAAATTTAAAAGATTAGTATAATTAAACATAGATTAAATTTAATAAAGGTAGGTACCAAACATAGTTTAAATTGACAAGTACAAAGATTTAGAGGAATTCACCTGAATCGTGCATTCAGGTTGCAAATGGCAATCTAATCGGGCATTCAGGCTGCAGGAAATGATAAGGCGGAGATAAGAGGGAAATACTAATAACCTGTACAAATTGCCGGCATGGTCGAGGTGTCCGTCTCCGTGGTGTTGCCGACCTCGATCACGTCCTTCATCACGGCGGTGGACAAAGCCTTGTCGCCAGGGTCGCCCGGGACTGTGCTGAGCGACAGTGGTAGATGCACGCATTGTTTGGCGATGAGGATGCAGAAGCTGTAGCAATGGCGTCAAGACGCTTGAGAATGCGCCACGCCTTGCAGTTGACGACGACGTTGTTGACGAAGTACGCCGGCTGCCAGGTTAGTCCTCTTGGTTGGGGTTTACTATGTGGCTACAAAATAACTTATGTAGCTGGCTACTGAATATACTCTCTCTCTCTCTCTCTCTCTATATATATATATATATATATATATATAACTATTACTCTTGTCTACAAAATAACTTATTCTGTAGCGATAATTACTATGTTAATTTATGAGATTATAGTAACTCCATATTAAGTGGTTTATTATAACGTTATAGTAAATATCTCTATGTGTTATAGTGACCCAACTATCGTAAATATGTATTGACGTTATCGTAAATTAGTATATAAATTTATCGTAAATGGAGGTGGCTACAGAATAACTTATTTTGTAGCTGGCTTTTGAATATACTCTCTCTCTCTCTCTCTCTATATATATATATATATATATATATATATATATATATATATATATATATATATATATATATATATATATATATATATATATATATATATATATATGCACGTTCCTGGAGCAGCTAGCTCGTTTATTTATACAGCACAACCACTGGCCTTTGTAAAAACTTGCATATATATACATGTAGGGTACGCTGTAGGAGGGTCCTCCTCCACATTCCTATTTGCAGCGGCATTGTTGGCGTAGTAGAAGAACTAGAGTTCGTGTCCTTGCTGGGCACCGGGACAAGGGACAAACACTAACAATGGGCAGGAGGCTGCCGGCGGCGTTGTGCGGTGGCCGGGCGGCGACGCGGGTGGTGAGGAGAAAGCGGGTGCACCGGGCGTCCTACGCCCCGTCCTCTAAGCTCCCCGCCCCGGCACTGCCCGGCGGCGGCGGTGGCAAGGCCGGCAGCGCAGCAGCAACAGCCGGTGGTGTCAATGGCAACGGCGAGCTGATGGTGCAAGTGGGCAGTGCCGCCGCCGCCGCCGTGACGGCGACCGGCAAGAAGAAGGACGGCGGCGGGCGGCGGGTCATGGTGCTGGCCGACGGCCGCGCCGAGGCCGCCGGCGCGCTCCAGTGGGCGCTGTCGCAGGCCGTCCGGAGCAACGACACTGTCGTCCTCCTCGCCGTTGCCAAGCCCGTCGCCCGAGACGGTCGGTCGGTCTCTCGTCTATTGTTTATCGCCGCGTCGGCGATAAATTTGTCGGGTTTCATACTTTCATCACGCATTCACGCTGGCTAGAATTTCACTGACTATAATTTTTTTTTTGTCGAATAAAATGTTTCTGCAGCCGTCAGTGATTCTTGCGTCAAGATGCTGGGCACCAAGAGCCAGCAGCACCTCGCCGCCTTGAGGACAGTCTGTGAATCAACAAGGCCAGAGGTATCCACGCAAATGCTACGTGATCAATGTAATTAAATTAATTAATCTCCCAGTAAATTATTACTAGGATAGGATACGATGGAATTATTACTCGGATAGGATAATGGAATATAAAGCTTGCCAGATCAGTGCTCTCGCTGTCTATAATATAATCAAACGAGGCTAAATTGTTTCCGTGAAATTCGAAACGAAGGTCAGCCAGTGATTTGTGGGATGCGCAATGATTTCTTGCCGTCCACCACTACCAAAAGCAATGGCCACTTAGCGGATTTTGTGGCGCTAAAAGAAAAGAAAAGAAAAGAGCTCAATAATGTTGGAGGAGTTGGCGATCCGAGGCTCACCAGACGATCACACAATGCAGGTGAAGGTGGAGACGTGCGCCGTGGAGGCGGAGGAGCGCGCGCCGGCGGTGGTGGACGTGGCCAGGCGGCACGGCGCGTCGTTGCTCGTGCTGGGCCAGCGCCCGCGGCGGCACGCGGTGGCGCGGTGGCTGCACGCGGTGCTGTGGCGGCGCCGGCGCAGCAGGGGCTCCTCCTCCGCCGCTGGTGCCGCCGCCGGCGGCGGAGGCATGGTGGAGTACTGCATCGAGCACGCGCCGTGCGTGGCGCTGGCCGTGCGCAGGAGGAGCTCAGGCGGTTACCTCGTCTCCAGCAAGCACCACAGGGACTTCTGGCTCCTCGCCTAGTAGTGCCTGATCTCAGCATCAACGATCTCTTTTTTGTGTCCCTTCGTCGTCAGTTAAAAACTATTGCCTGCTGGTAACTTAATCAGAGCGAGTTTACCTCTGATCTGGCCGATGATGCTGTAAAGGTAGCTATCCGAACGATGAACAATCAAAACTTCAGCTTGTTTCAGAAAACTGTTCGGTGTGGAAGATGGTCAAAGATAGAATGTTTTGACTTTGCACAAAACTAGAGTGACAACTAATATGAAAAGGAGGTACTATGAAACAGCTTTGTCAAATTAATTATTACTAACAGAGCTATTTTATGACAGTTTTTCAATCTTAAGAGTGCTGTTGTGAAGCTCACTCAGTTTATTATGAATTACGTAAAGCGATTTCAGTATTGAACTACCCAAATCGTGGTCATGATGAAGCTAATCATTTGATAATTTGACTAAACAGAAGACCTGATTGATTTAGATAATGAATCGCAACGTTATTCACGCAAACTACTACTTGCTGAAATTTGTACAAGATAAACTAAACCATTTCTCTCAAAATTCCCCTTAGTCTCAAGTGGTGGAAACAAAAAAGAGTATGAAATCCCTTGTTAATGCATCATATGGCCAAAAGGAAGCCGCCCAGCCAGGCTTAGATTGATAGTATGACATCCCTGGTTATTAGTTAACGCATCATATCAATATGCACTAGTCGCGATGGGTGGGTACAAGCTTGGAACTACATAAAGACAAGAAGCAACATGTTAAGGTTTAGGGTTAGGATTGAAGAGGTGGCAAGATACATATTGGAGCTGCCAAGCTTAAAAGATGATCCGTACGTAGGTTAGTTCAACAAGGTGTCAAAGTAGTAAATAGCTAGGCCAGTTCGGAAGGGAGACACCAACAAATGGCGGAAGAATAATGGAAACACGGTAGGTTGAGCACAAAGCTTGCCACTCTTGTGGAAGGCGAAGAAATGAATCAGAAAGAAGGAAGGGAGGAGAAAGGGGGAAAAGAAGGGGGAGAGGAGTACAACAAGGAGTAGGGGTGTACCTTCGTTCAATATAGGAATACAAAGCTACACGCACACACTACGTAGCTTGGGTTGATTAGGAGGGTGACAAAGGGTAGGATAGTGCCAATGGGGCCTATCTAACCAAGCCTTGGAGGGGTCTAAGATGGGACAAGAGAGACAACTGAGGAATGCTTTTTATGTAGTGGGAGAATTATTCTATCTTTGGTATGGCAGCTCATATTGGATCAAATGGACATGAACCCGTGGGCGTGCATAACATGATTGTTTAAACCAGATGGCACAAATCATCCTGCACTGGTTAAGAAAAAACTACATTTAGGAATGATCATGAATCTTGTTCCTAATTGGTGTATTTTTTTTTCACCCCTACTAGTTTGCTATGCCATGAATCTCAGTCCCTTTGGTTCTTTTTGTTTGGCATGTTCGATCTCCGTGGAAAAATAGGTTGAAAATTGGCAATCAAAATCATACAAAAGGTTAGAATTAACCCAAAAACCCGAGATAATATAGCATGGACTATTCATCCCATTGAACTAAAAGAACACTAATAAGTTGTAGCATTTTTCCCGTACTCTTCAAACATAATGGTTAATGTTCTAGTCAGGGGTGAAGCCAGCTGTCATTACTACTAGGGTCTTTCATAGTACACAATAGGGTCAAAGTAGTGGTGAATAGTAGTTCTCCATAGCATTTATAAGCTCATCGGTCGCTTGACTCCAATGGCAAAGGCTAGCTTCCGCCCTTGATTTTAGTCGTTTCTTTTTTTTTCCACAACGGTAAAAACCGAATTTCATTATACCAAAGCAACGCACGAATTGTTTACCGCAACCTATTTATGCGCATGATCACATAGGGAACATACGCATGAATACCAACCACCAGGTCTAAGATAGATGCAACTACCCAATGACAGCCCAGAACGGCAAATTACAAGACAAAACAAACTTCTAAACTAAGCATAGACTTCCGAAATGATTGCAGCGCCCATGCACTGCCCGTGCGCCAGACGATGTGCTTCACCCAGCGTACGGAATCAGCTGATGTTCCTCCTGAGCACAACTCTGAACATTCTGCCTGCGAAAGAAGATGGCCGCCGTCTTCACAGCTTCAGCTCCTTGAACAACTCAGCCTGTTCGGTTTGCTGGTTCGTATCGTTGCTGGTTCGTGAAGAAGTATTGCTGGCTGGTTTGTGTGAGAGAAAAATACTATTCCGACTGGAAATTTACGATCGTTTACAACAAGCCACAATAAAACGAACAGGCTGTTGATGCTTCCATTCCTCCGATAACATACTTGCCCAGTAAGTGAGGAAAGAGCAAATCATACACACAATCTCAGTAGGAGATTTGACTCTTTTATTTTCAAAGCACACAGCATTTCATGAGCGCCAGATTGCCCAGCACACGGCAGCCAAACCCACAGTATGCATTACGGCCCCTTGAGGTAATATCTTATCAATTCAGGACCAGAACTGATCCATATTGGAGGGTCTACAATCAGCCCCCAGAGAGAAAGTGTGAAACCCCAGTCCATGGGCCAGTTGGGCCAGACCAAATTCGTGATACTATAGCACCAGGGCACTGTAGCTTGGGCACAGTGTTTCCAGTTTAGTCCCATAACCGCAAATGGAACCAGAGCTAGACCAGCTTAAAAGTCTAGACTTGGGAGGCTGTTAACTCCGAATCAATCCTTTTGCGCGTAGCGAGGACGAAAAGCGCAGGGAAGTTAATTAGCAGGTGTGGCTCATTCAGCGTGTAGAGTGGGCCTTAGCCGTCTTCATGGGTCGAAGCGTTATAAATGGTATTCAGAGCCCACTCTCGCGGTTTCACGGTTCACATGGTCCGGAAGCCTAGATAGGTTGTGCATGGCTCCAAAGAGGGCATGGCGTCTTGGCGGGGGAACTGGAAATATGAACATGACCAAGAGAGTCGATTCAAAGCATTTGTCCCGTATGGGTAAGCTGGTTTGATAGTTCGAGGTGGGTGGATGTAAAACTCCAGCCCATTAGCCAGTTGGGACAGACCAAAGTCGTGATACTGTAGCACCGGGGCACTGTAGCTTTTGGCACAGTGTTTTCAGTTTAGTCCCGTACCGGAAATGGAACCAGAGCTAGATCAGCTTAAAAGCTTGGACCTGGGAGGCTGTTAACTCCGGATCGATCCTTTTGCGCGAAGCGAGAATGAAAGCGCAAGAGAGTTAATTTGCAGGTGTGGGTCATTCAACGAGTAGAGTGGGCCTTAGCCGTCTTCGCGGGTGAAAGCCCTAGTTTAGTTTTGGATAATTGATGAAACCTAGTTGGACTAATCTTTGCATCTAAGTGTATGATTAGATAAGATAGTTCAATCCAAGTGGTGGAGCAGGATGAAGTCCATGGTGTTGTTGGTGGAAATATGATGAAGGTGATCAAGCTCCGGACTTGAAAAAGAAGAAAGAGAACAATAAAATGGGCTCAAGGCAAATGTGAAATTCATAGAGCCATTTTATTTTCAGTGATCGAGACACTATAGAGAGTGTGATCATATTTAGGATAAATGGTCGTACTATTAAGAGGGGAGCTCTTATCGGACAACTCGATCATCTAGTGCCACTAGGTGTTGGAAAACATGCATATGTATTTTAGGCCTAGAGCACAATCGGTGAGAAGTGTTTAACCTTTGAAAAATGATTGTGAAAATGGTAACACACTTGCACGCGATGGTGAAACACTTAGAGTGTTAGCACATTTACAAAGATAGTGAGAAAGGTGAAAAAACGGGGGCGAAACTCGACTTGGGGTGCTGGCACTAGGGCACCGCCACCCCTTGTCCGGTGCACCGCCACCCCTGTGGCGGTGACCGGCTGGGAGGCCGAGAGCAACGGGTTGCCCTAGGGGCACCGCCACCCTATCCGGTGGCACCACCACGCCTAGGGCGGTGCCCACCTCGACCTGGCCGAGAGCAGTAGAGAAGGATGTGGCACCGGTGCGTTCGGTGTGCACCGCCGCTGTGAGGGCGGTGCACCGCCTGGTCACCACCACTAGTGAGGTGCTGCCACTGCCTCTTTTCACACGAGAGTGAGGGAAACTGAGCTGGTCACCGCCGCGGACATCGCCGCCCTGATGGCGGTGCACTGCCATAAAAATCCAGAGAAGGGGATTTTCGGGCAGTTGGCTAGGTGGTCATCGCCACCCTCGGGGCGGTGCCACCGTCACCCTGTTCGGTGCCCCAACGGCTAGTTTTTAACCGTTGGAAAATGACCATTGGGAGGGGCACCGCCATGTCTGGTGCCAGGCACCACCGTGTTCGGTGCCCTCGCATAAAGCTGCTCCAAAGGGGTAACGACTCTATTTGCTTGTGGGCTTATAAATAGAGCTAGTGGTCGGCCTTGGCCACTCTCTTAGCACTTCTAACAGCTGTATGCACCCTTTGAGAGCTGAGCACACCACTCCACTCATGTGCACACTTGATTTTATCATCTTGAGTGAGATTGGAGAGCCTCTAGTGCATTGCTTAGTGTTCTAGCATCTTGTGGCACTAGTTGGGCGTTTTGGGCTGGTGGAGTTCTTATTACTCTTGGTGTTTACCGACACCTAGATGGCCCGGTGATTGGTGGATCGTCGAGCGGAGGAAAGTGATTATCTCTGGCTCTGATCATTATGATTGTGAGGGGTTCTTGAGCCTTCCTCGGTGGAGCACTAAAGGCAAGTCTAGTGGATTGCGCGTGGCTTGTGGATCCTCATCTTGTGTTGGTTGTGTGGCACCTGGTTGCGGGTTATGCGTATGATGCCTATTAGCGCGTAAACCTCCAAGTGAGTTAATCACCACAACATGGACTAGCTTGTCGGCAAGGAAGTGAACCTCAGAGGAAAAATTATTGTATCTTGATTGTCTCCTCAGTATTCATTGATCGATCACTTGCCACGACGGTATATCACTTCTACCTGTAACACCCAAAAAATTCATTTACAATTTAGTAATTAAAATTGAGCATTTAATTAATTTTCTATG